GGTACCGCCAGCATCACCACCACCACCTGCAACATCCCCCCAGTCCTCCGGAGCACAGGAGCGAGTGGGAGGCGGGCGGGTATCTCCCCAGAGGAGGCATCTACTCGTCTAACACCAGTGAAATGTCCTACCCCTCTAGTCCAAAGGTTAGAGTTCCTCACGTGAGAGGCATGATGAGTTCTAAAGGTTGATTGTCAGTAGCTAGATGTGGTTCTCTTTGATGCATAGGTTGGTCTGCATGTTGTGTTTAATGCATTGTGATGTTTTATGCATGAAGAGAGACCAATACTGCACTTGCATGACTGACCTGGGCGGCTGGTTGTTGGTGATGGTGGTTGCATGGTTTGTAGTGCGCAAAGGTGATGAAAGTAGGATGGAGCAGTTTGTGTGGAAACCTTAGCCATGCTGTGATATCTACAAAAGTGTGATTGTGTGTGTTGGACTGATATTCCAGTGAGTTGAAGTATTTATAGTGTGTCACTGTGGTGCAGGTGATGAGAAATACGTCCCACGCCAGTCGTATTTCCAATTCGAGCAGTCCCCTGGTGAGTGTCTTCCTGGAGAAATGTCAGCAGTTTGTGTTTTTCTAAATGTTGAGCTTTATAAAGTTGTACAATCCTTTTGCTTTATAGTGACTTTAACACACCTTTACTCAGCTGTTGCTCAGAAACCTGTACTCTCACCGATAGCAACTAGCTCCCAGTCCCCCGAACCAGAGGCGTCAGACGGCCCCTGTCATGTCTAAGCCCGTCATGCTGCCCCAATCGCAAACCCACCGACCAGACCCACACAGATCTGCACACCGTTCTGATGGCCTGGTATGAAGCTACCCACGCTGCATTCATACCCTCCTCCTCGGCTGCACTAAACCCGAATCCATGTTAATAGGATCATAAAGCATCTGATGCTGTATGCCAGTGGCTGGGCTGGCTGAAGTATTAATCCCCCCTCAGCTTCAAGTGCTGGTGATTTTTCCAGCCTCTCCAGCCGTCTCAAAGAAACCCAATCAGGGACTATTGTATCATGCAAGTGACCACTTCTCCTCCTTGTCAGAAACGCTAATGAGACTGGGCAGACTGTTTATTTCTCAAGCTGTGTTTACCTCAGACAAGTCAACTGCCTCTTCTACGTTCACCATCTGCCCCACTCAGTGCAGTGACAGTGCACTGAGCGAGGCAGATGGTTAATGTAAACCCCGTAATGTAAACCCCATGGAGATAGAATCCATACTGAAAGGCGTACCACCTGTGGTAGCTGCAGCAAGAGAATGCAATTAATCATTCACGTTTCTCGTGACACGTTTTAGTCTGATCAACCGAGTACGAGAGCTGGGAATCAACCAGCTCTAAATTACTCTCTGATTTGCTCTCGGCTTTGCTATTGATGTTTTGGGATACGCCGGACGTGACTGGATTTGAAATTGAGTTGGAAACATTGGCATAAAGAAAACATGCTCCTTTGTCATGTCTGGTGCAGCATCTTCTCACTGTGATAAACCGTAAACACATATAAGTGTCCGTATAAAACAAAAACCAACAGCTATTGATCTACAAACAAGTATCGTCTCTGTTATGCCCTGAATAGTGGTGGCCAAGACACAGCATGAAAGCAACTCGTCTGAACAGCCACACAAACACATTCTTTAGATTTAGTCATAGTTTTATTTATTTACTACATATTTGCGGGGTTGAATTTAGCTTCAGTGTGGACTACAGCCAAAATAACTTCACAGCCAAAATAATACTGCCAACACCTACAAACCAAAAATCCAATGGCTCACATAGTCGCGAGTTGATGCCAAACTTCAGACATCGAATCAAGCAGGGCAGCTGTCGAACCTGTTCTTGAGTTCTCATTTAAAATGTGTAGAAAATTGTCGAGGCACAGAAGTGACGTCTGTCTTGTGTTTCAGCCTCCGGAAATGCTGAAACGGATGGTGCCTTTCAACTCGTCGTTTAAAGCAAACAACAAACGACAAGTAATCCATCGGCTGATCTCTTACCCCGTGTCGCTCTGGAGTGCTTTTCTCCTTCTCTTCTTTATTTTCTCTGTCTCTGTGTTCACACATCAGGTTTGCTCATGGTTGACTGGTGCCTCAGTGATCCTTCATTTTTCAGCAGCTACGCTCTCAGATGGCTGCATCACCGTGTTTTGATGCAGTCGTGTCCCTTGTGCAGGACTGAGCTTTGATTGACTGTGAACATGCGGCGTGTGGAGAGCATGTTTTGTTCTTACTGCAGGGATTACTTTGAATTTTTACTGACAGCAGGTGAATTGATATGAAGAATTGTCTTGTGAAGGCTCACTGAAGACTCCAAGTGGCTGTAATCTGTCTGTCTGCTGGAAGAAAGACTTTGCTTAACTTTATTAGCTTCATCTATTATTCTGAATACCACGTCGGTCAGATGGTTCGGGCCGATTCGGCTGCTGGCTCCAGCCACAACAAACATAAACAGATGTCACTGCTGAGTTCATTTTTTACGTCCAACTTTGAACATCTGCGTGCAACAGGAAATGAACTGTTAGATTAATGTGTGTTTATTCTGCAGGGAGAAAAATGTCTCTCTGAGTCATCGTCGCTGAATAAATGTGATGTCCTTTCTCTCAGAGCTTTGCATTTTTTTTTCCCCTTCATGTGAAATTAAATAGCTGTCCTACGAGGAATGATTAGGGCTGCTTTTCTTTGTGTTCTTTGTGTGTGTGTGCATGTTGCTGTGAATTATTCTAGTCATTATTGAATTAAGGTGTGAGGCTTTAAAAGCCACGTGCTTCTGGAAGTAACGACCACGAGCGTCTCCATGGTTTCCCTTCATTCAGAGGCCTTTAAAACAAACTGATTGTCAAAGGAAATCTGACCAGCACTTCATGACTTGTTGCACGTTAATGATCACAGAGATGTGTTGCCTCTTCAGTTCCTGCTGACATATTGATCGGGGCTAATGGCCTACATGTTGCTTCTCTTTCAGGGATTTCAGAAATACGTGGAAGACTTTGATCCCTACTCCATGGTATTGTATGCCGGATCTTGTTAGAAACACAGGAAGGGCAGTAAAAATGTGGAAATTCAGAAACGAGGCTGAGATCCAACCAGAAATTTTAAAAAAGTGTGTCTGCTGCTGCACAACCATCAGCTTTATAAACACCGCAGCAGCAGAATTATGTCACACAAAAGCTGCATTTAAAATAAAATATAGAGGTTTCACAATAAGATTTCTCAAGCAGCTGATTTCTGGTCGCTAGTCAGTGGATCAGTTCCAGGAAAATCACTTTGACAAAATGGTTCTGTTTGAATACGTGAGACTGGAAAACTGTTTACCTAAAAACTATCATATTTTTACAGATATGAACTCTTGATGATGTATGATGATATATAAGCCCTGCATTGTCATTTATTTAGCTAAGCACGGCTTTATCTATATTCAGAGAATATTCTTCTACTATTTGTTGTTTTACTACTTAATATGCAGCTGCAGTTATTTTGTGTTTTTCACCCTCGGTTCTCTCTTTGCTTCTAGTTCTCTGCAGACCAGATAGCCGACCGAGATGTGAGGCTGCTGAGAATCAAAAAGGTCGTCACGGCTTTCACTTCAGTTGCTGCGTTCGTTGAAAAGATGAATCTGTCTCACATGTCAGGAATATTAAAACACGGCTGCTGATGTTTTTTGTTTGTCTGTTTTAAGACCGGACAGCTCGACTTGGCTCTGGAGGGGGGAGCTGACTCTCCTCTGGGAAAGCTGGTGGTGTCTTCGGTGTACGAGGGAGGCGCTGCAGATAAGCACGGTCTGCTCATTTTTTATTTTATTTTTTAGTTTATGAAAACTTAAAATCCATGAAATCGTCTTTTGCAGCTGAACTGAGCCGTGATTCAGAAAGATGTAGGGTATTAATCACACACATAACAGTTGTATAATTAAACTATATTTTAGCGCCATTTCTTTATTTGTTAAAGCGTGAATAGGTTTGGGTCAGTAAACAGTCATTTTCCTCTTGTTGTCTGCACATAAAACTCTTCTCTGTCTCTCTAACCGGAACAAGTTGTCTCGTTTACACAATGCTGCATAATAATAGAAGGTATTTCGCACATTTTATTCTCATTAGCACTGAGGAATAAAGACTGAATAGAAGAAACACGGCTTAACTGTATCACATGAAGGCAGCCTTGATCTCAGGGCTGTTGTATTACACAGGTGTGTGTAATAAACTGCCAGTTTAGTTTACATCTCATTCAACATTTTTACATATAAATGCAAATGCATGCATTAAAAATTTGCTCAAACTGTAGTCACACCGTATTGGGAGAGACCAAAATGTGCCGTATCGTTGCATAGCTGTTACACCAGCGTTGCTGCCTGCATGCTGAGTAGATGATTGGCAGTTTAAACGTCTCTAATGTCTGTTTTATAGGTGGGATCGTCCCCGGGGACGAACTAATGGCTGTAAATGGGAAGATCCTGATCGATGCTACGCTGACTGAGGGGCAGAACTCTCTGGCTCGAGCCTGGAATAGTGGAGGGGTAGGGCTCGGATTTTAAATAAAAAGCCCATGTCTGTGGAGATTCCCAGTCATTCAGGTTGTGGTTGTTCTGGTAGATTAATCGTAGGAACTGGACTCGCTTGAGTTCCTTGAAGAGGCTTCATCCGAGAGGCTTCATCCTCAGCTGTCCACCTGCATCTTAAGGACAAAGGACTCATTTAAAGATAATAATGTACAGATTTTGGCGAGATGGTTTGAGAAAGGGGTGAAAGAAGCCATCTGTGTCAAGACCATCCCTCTGCAGAGGTGGAGGTCTGAGGCGTCACCTCTCACCTGTTTACAGTTCAGTCTTAAGATCTCTCCCCAGGAAGGTGAACCCACATCCACACCGAGCCACAAAAGACCCTAACGAACCCCATTGTGACAGGGGGAGCACTAACGACTCACATAACGAGGAGGGGGAGCAACAAACCCCCAAATGAAACCAAAACTCAGGTGTTAATGGATCCTTAAGGATATCAATATGTGGATCTCCCAACTAGTCAGTCAGAACTGATGAAGCCTCTTGGATGAAACGTCTTCAAGGAACTCGAGCAAGTCCAGTTCCTACGATTAAACTACGAGAAAAAGGCCACGTGCTGTTTATAAGAACTACCATTACTCACCAGAGCAGCTACGTTAGCTCTCATTGATTGTAGTTAAACCTCGTGTTGTAGATTCAGGCTGCTGGCATTCATATTGTTTGTTGATTCAATCAGTAGCACAATGAAAATGTTTTTGCCTGCAGGACTGGATCGATGTCGTGATCACCGTGTCCCCGCCGAAGGAGTACGAAGATGAAGTGTAAGCATTCTTGTTGCTATTATTTATTCAAATGCAGCATTTCGGTGCACTTTGTATGAAAAGCTAACAATGAATTATTGACATGATGAAGTTGGTTCAGTAGTTGACGGCTTGTGGCTCGTGTGTCTGTGCGTGTGCATGTGTATGCAGCCCTAAGTCAGCATCAGTCAGTCCCACTGTGAACAGAAAGGTGTTTGAAGGCAGTGCGACCCTGTACAGACACGGCTACCTGCTTCAGCACTAGTCCTCCCTCTCCTCCTACCTCACCCTCGTCCCGGTAATCCACCCAGTCTTCAGACCTCCTCTTCTTCACTGCACGTCAGAGGAGATGTTTGGTGTGGCTTTTGTTTTTGTTTGGCCTCATTTTTATCTGTTCTTTAGGACATGTGACAGTCTCCCTGTCGATCAGAAGAAAGCCATAAACCATGAAAGGGGCTATATGTGGTCTATACAGTGTCCAGTTTTGCTTCTCTCCATTTAAAATTGGGCCTCAGGGCAGCTTTTGCACTCTTTAACGACACAGTGAAGACATTCACAACCAATGCGATCAGTGACCCGTCCCACCATATATCTGCCAGAACCCGACCGAGCGAGCCATATATAAACACGTATGTTCCTGCGTGGCCTCCGTGGTATTGTGCCTTGTCGTCAGGTCACGGTCGCTTGTAAAAGCAGCGTAGGGCTCCTGCCAGCCTTCAGCAGTTGTTCTGATTGATGTTGTTCTACGGGACTGTTACATGTTCTGAAGCTTGATGTGCTCCTGGGCTTGGATCAGGATTGTGTTTTTGAGCTTGATGAAGTTTTAAAAATCCCAAAGAACTGCAGTTTTTCAGCCAAAAAACACAAAAGCAAGGACGCGATTTTTAAAAATTTTCAGACTGTCTTGTGTTTTTATGACCCACCTGCATGTCGGCCTGTTGTGGAGTGACTAAAGCAAGCACAGAATGATGCAGTTAAACTACAGCAGCTTTTTTTTTTTATTTGTACAGCTGAGTAAAGTAGATGTGACAGAATGACACGTTATTGATTGATTGTCGTCTCTTCTCCTGCAGGACGTTCTTCTAGTCTCATCTACATTCTGCCAAGACACCCGAACTGATTAAGAAGAAGCTTTTCATTCTTGATTCATTAAAGATTCGCTGCAGTTTGAGATGGTCTCTTTATTATTTGAGACTGAGCTCCCTGCCATGTATTAAGATACCATTCAGTGTCTCCGTTGTTTTCTTCACCTCTATCAAAGCCGGAAATGATCGATATCAGACACACACAAGCTTTTCTTCCATCTGTCAGTATAAGAATGAAGAACGAGTCAAAGCAGGCAAATTGTGATCATTGATTTAATGTGCCTTTCCAAAGCTTAATAAAGAACTGTTTAGACTAGAGATGGGCTTCTGTGCTGCCGACTGGTTCTCTGCTGTCTGTGCATTGTTTTAAAACTCTGTTTACAGGTGAGTCACTGAGAGAGCCAGCACGAGCTGTGACGATAAATTCAGAGAAAGATGCAAGTTCAGTTGTTGGTTTGTCGACTTTTTCACTATTTACCTCATGACCAGTTGACGGTAATATTCAAGCATCGAATCCAGATTTGTGTCCACACTGTTCACATATCTAATGTAGAATACATTTTTTAAAAACAACTGTAGCTCCAAATATGTTTTTTTAAATTTTAGTTTTTTTTTTTCCTTACATATAAAGACTTGACATATATTAATACATTTATTGTAATTTTATAAACATTTCTATTTTATTTGATAGAGGAAATTGTCAAATTTAAGTTTAATACTGATGAATAAATAATAAGAAATAGATACAGGTGGTGACGAAGGAAAAGCAAGCTTTGATTCTGTAACTATTCATGAATTTTTTGTTAAATAGCAGGTTTAATTACAGAGGTTTTCACTGCAGGAATATTCAGTGAATGTGTTTTAATCCGTTTTAAAAAAAAATCATATCATCTGTCATAATATAATATTAAATATTAAAGACAATTTATTTGTTTTACACATGGAAATATTCTTCATTACGTATTAAGAAGCCAAAAGAAAAAAAAAACACAAACCCTCATGTAAAATTAAGACCTGGAAATGTATTTTAATCAAATTTTTTAGTTGTTGTTGTTGGTATTGTAGCTGCTGCAACATGACCTGTTCTTTACGGTGCATTTTCAACCCTACAGAATTAGTTTTTGTCAAAAAAAAAAGCTTGCTTTCATTTTTCTTGCTTTTCCAAACATGCATAGAAATGAGACTACATGACTATTTTCCACATTTTTGCTCTTTTTAAGGTGAGTACAAAGTATTTTACTTGATTACAATGAGCTTGTTTTCATTTTCTTGCTTTTTAAAACATGTCTGCATCCATTTTTAAGTAGTTTTAAGTCATGACTTTAACTTACAGTTTAAAATGTCTTTAAAACTTTTCCAGTTTTCTCATTTTAATGGCTTTTAAATTGTATTTTAGTCATTAAAAAGCAGCATGAGGTCAAATGCAGGGCCTGTTCCTGCTTCTTCATTTTCCCTGTCTGCTCTTTTTTATCATCTCTGCATCGATTTGCTTGAACCACAGGGAGCCATAGAGTTTTGTGAATTAATGTCCACAGGGGGCAACAGAGCTCCTTCTCCGGTATCGAGCTGCTCGGTCTGGTTCATAACTGTGCTCTGGTTAAACCTCAGTGTCAATCAGCAGGTCAACATCAGACCGTGGGGGGGTCTGGTGAAGGGAAGTTTTGGGTTAAACGAAGAATAAATAAACAGATAAAGTAAAATGCGATGCGTGCAGCTGATCGTGTCTCATGTTACATGTGTGTCGTCTCGCTCAGCAGCATCCCACTTCTCTCTCTTACATAAGCGCTGTGTTGTCATCCATCCATCCATCGTGGCTCAATGCTGCTGCTGCATACGTGACTCTAGTCTGCTGCGTCGCATCGACCTCCTCGCTGTGCGCATCAGCTGCTGCTCAGGGTTCCCCCGGTTCACGTCAGGGTCCAAGGGTGGCCCTGGAAGATCTGCCTCCTCCTCCTCCTTCCTCCTCCCTCCTCCTCTTCCTCCGCGGTCCCCGGGTTCAGCACCGTGGACAGCTCCCAGCCTCCACCCGGGAACCGACGCCTGCTGCCGGCCGCTCAAACCCGAGCAGGACAGCGACAAGTCGGCGGGAACACATGAGACGCTGCACTTTGGGAGATTTTTTGCCCCTTTTCTTTTTTTCAACCAGGCGACGGATGTGACAGAAGTGAGGAGAGCTCCTGAAGTCACAGAAGAAGCGAGGCTGCAAACATGATCTCACGATACAAACCGGTGAGTGCTGCTGGATGTGTGTCACCTGCTCACTTTGATTTCTTTCTATTGCACACAGGGCTGCACCTTAAATGCACGGCTTATTCTTCAATTATCCCACACATGCGCACTGGAGACACGTTTGCATTTTAAATGCATGCATAGTTCAGCAGGCCTGAGCTTTGGCAGCAGCTTAAATAATCATAATGTAGTCATTCTAAATGCTGTTTAGTGAATGAACTTCCTGCCTGTAGTGTGCTGTAGTGGGATCGTGCATCACTGGCTTTCATCCTGAGCTAATTTGTGGAGAGTGTAAGATGTTGCTGGTTTGGCCAAGCAGGGCTGGTAAATAATGATCACAGCCAGATGGAGCATTTTACAGCAAGTATCCCCCCCTCCCCCCTCTTCCTCATTTTCTCCAGGAAAAAGGTGAGAAACAAGATAGATGGCAGATTAATTCATCACTCACCTCTCACCCTCACTCGACTCCCACAGATAAGATCCTCACACTTCATCCAAACGCTTCCTCCTCCTGCTACGCCTGTTATATTTGCGTTGCATCTGTCTGTATCTGGGGCTTTAGGACCACAAAGCAGCAGCTCAGTCTGTACTCTGGGGCTGCTTTGATGTTTCATGTTTTTAAGATTGCATTGCTCTCCATGTGCTCTGTGAAGAGATGATAGATTTTCCCTTTCTCCGGGTCTCCCTGAGTGGCTCCTCTTCTCATGCTCTTTGTCCCTGCTGATGCTTCGCTTCTCCCCAGGCCATTCGCTAATGACCACGGCTGATCTCTGATGTAGGGCACTGCAGAACTGTAGCCCAGACAGTTACACCAGCTTTAAGACAGGATGATCAAACAGGCAGGGCTTGATAATAAATTGATTTTTAATTGAGGCTTTGAAGCTTTTTTATATTCTGAGAGAACCCAATCTGACTGAATATCCTGTTATTGTGTGTTTTTTTATTGATTAACTGGTTTGTGGAAACAGCTGGGAGTGGGCCGGGCTGCAGTTGCTCCAAATTCCTCATCACGGGTGTTGAAATGAAAGATCATCTGCTTTCCATCCAGCTACACCCGGTGTCCCTTTACGTCTTCCTGTACGTTTGACTGCTTCCAAAATAACCGCTGACCTTTGCTGGATATCTGAACCTCAGATGATAACTTATTAAAGCTGAGGTACGCAGGGCTTTGGGGGACATCGGTCGGCAAAAAAATCCTGAAAAGAAACAAGACTTCTGCAGCTCCACTTTGATGGGAGTAGTTTGTGGTGGTTAAATGGACTAAAGAAAAGACTTTCAGATTGGAGACAGGGGGTCTGAGTCCTGCTGAAGCTGAATGTTAGCTTCACTATTTTTACAAAACTCCTGCATACTTCTGTGCTCAACTGGTGGGACTGGTTTAGGATAGAGAGGACCAAGCTGGATAAGGTTGCTGCTTCCAGATTTCTGCTTACAGCAACTTTAATATTCATCTTTGGACACGGTTTTTTGCTCTGCTTTATGTCTGCAGGTTGTCTCCATGAAGTATCAGACTACTGTTGTTTTAAACTCCTCTAAGAACAGCTTGAAAAATAACATGGCAGCTTTTACACAATAAATCTAGTTTATTTAACATTAATTTTTGTTTTCCCTAGAATCATTTTCTACACCTAAAGATCGTTCCACCATTCAAGTACTTCCACCTTCTGCA